AGTACACAGTTAAGATTCAGACACAGTTTAACGAATAAGGAATGAATTCGTCAGCTATGGTGAACATAGGACTGATTGCGAAATGAATATCTTTAATGCATATTGGTAACATCTCAAAGGTTTAGGAACATTAAACAAAATGCCTACTTGGTGGGGAGTTAATGTTGCACCTTTCGTCTTCGTAATCTACCTTGATTATTTTAATTCCAGGCTCTATTCAGTCATGGTTAAATGAATGCAACACAGCTTTGCATGTTGGCAAACTGCGATGACTTAATTGTTAATGAGTATTATGTGCTATGATTTAGAAAGCTAGCTCATATTGGGCGAATACAAGATGGCAAGATTGGCCTATTTACACCTATTACATGAAAATGCTAAGTGGCTGATTGAGGTAGACACTTCACCTAAGCTTTCGACAGTCGCATAACAAATACTTACCGAAAAACTCAAAATGTATGGAAACTCGTCTGTTCTGCCAATGTGTCTATCAACCAGCAGCATTTTGATAATATCAGTTCGTATGCTTCCATCGAATCGATTTAAAATAGCTGCCAGAAATTGAGACCTATGAATAACAAATATAAATGGCTGACCCACCCGAATTATTGCTAAAGTGCGGCTGGAAGCAGGAAGCACGATGATGTGAAATTGGAAGCATTAAATAACGTCATAGAGCAAAGAAGGGCTGCACCAACATAGATCAAATCGGGCTCAGCAGTCCCAGGAAGCCAATTAGTTAGGCTGCCTGAATGACTTTGGACTCTTTACCAGTTGGTCACGACTACATGTAACGCCCATGATTGATTTGTGGCTACCCATCCTCCTAAGTTTGAGCTCTGGCCACACTACCTGCTGAAAGTTAGGCCTGGCTCAGCTAACCTGGTGGCCAAGCTGCTCTTCACACCGAAATTACTAGAAAAGAGGGAATATAAAAATTACAGCTATTGAAAGGTTGATTTGTTCATGATTCACATAGAGTGTACAAGTAGGTAATCACACCACAACAAAGCTACCAAGCTCTTGTCCCTTAAAATTTTACACCAAATGTCCCATTTCTCACGAATTAACAACCTGATCTTCGATGGTGAAACGGCTGAGGTTCAGTTGAGTTGACGAAATTCTTTGATCCGTCACTGGCTCAGGCTTCATTTGAATATTTCAAAATTAGCTGATTGATATGGATTCTAGCGAGACATATCCATTGACAAATCACAGATTAGCCTGATGTCGCAGACACCACTCTTCCCAGAAATAATGCTGAAAATGATTCTGGAGAATCTTACAAAGATGTATTTAGAGGAATCTGCAGAACTCTGAAACGCCAAATAGGTGATTTTCAAGCAATGGTCTATATCTAGGGGGTCGTCAGAGAGGAATTTTTACTGAGTTTGTAGGCAGACGACACTACCAAAGACAAATACCAAGGTACAATAGACCAGCAGCTGTACTAGAATAATATCCAAGGTGTTGGAAAGCCTGTTGCACTACCAAATCGGGGAGCGTCTGAAACAGGACAGTCTTGCACGAAGCTCTTCATGAATTCAGGAAGCAGAAGTCTTGAGCTACCAATTTACCGATAGATCCCTAGAATAGCTTAAGCTGCAGCGAATCATTCAACTGATTTCAGCTATTTCACTTTCAATGGACAATTTATATGCGCTAACTGGATCAGATCGTGTGCAAATGAGTTTTCAAGCAGCAAGGGTGCCACCTTTTTGTGGCGTGACTGTGTATTTCCGTACTCCCTTCAAACTGTCGTTAACAAATATATACTTGAACGACCATAAGCGTCATATTCTCCCTTTTCTGGTAGTGACAGTGTTAAGAACAGCCTGACCACCAGGCTAGGCCAAACAGTCAGTAGGCAGTGTGGCTAGAGCTTAAGCCTAGCACGACAGATGGCTACATCACAGTCATGAGCGTTGAATCCGATCGGAAACAAGCTCTCAGTCATTCCAGCGACCTAACTAACTTTTCTCCTAGGAAGCCTCTTAAATCTCTGCGCAGATGATGTATAGCTTCAAGATATTAGGAGAAAGGAAGCGAAAAAATGCAATCATAGGAAGATGTGACATATCTAGAGAAAAGGGTTATCGAAAATGGATGAATCTTTGGCAACAACTGTTGCCAGGAGATGTTTATGAGTACACCAATAAAACAGTTCTTTCGTCGCTTATCCAGAACAAGCTTAGCCCACCCAGAAGTAAAGTGACTCCTGGCATCAGTCATGGAGGATAAATCACACACAAGTGGTAAATGTGCCGGCCACGTAACTATTTCCACGGTACTCCACTTGCACCGGAAGATTTTATGCAGTCATGCGAAACCGACGTGCCTCCAGTTTATCGCTCCTAAAAGGAAGTGGGAACTACTTAGAATGATTACTGATGGCAGCCAGCAAAGCTGTCGTGAGACTGAAATGTAAATCACACGACGACTGACTCCGAAGGCTGGATCTGCATTCCCTGAGCCACCACCTAATCATGACATACGACTTAATGCACAACCCAATGTGAGAAGAGCCCAGTGGTATCCCTAGGGGTAACCTTCACACTAATGCTAGCTCGAGAGTAACAGCAAAGGCATGTACTAATTTTTTGGTGGTTTCGACTCAAGAAATTCGTTAATTATGAGAGTGGCATCCTCTACGTTAGTTAACAGCTTGAAAAGGAATCTAGACTGCTGTTACAAGGGAGCACTTCCGCACACGCCCACTGGCTAGTCTTAGTTGGTTGTGTTGTTACTACGAATATGCCCCCTACTTTCGTATACTGCACTACAACATTCTATTTTTTACCTCTTTCTTCATCAGTTTGAAATTTTCCTCTGTGCACTCACAGTTCCACAACTCCCACTCTCAACCATCTGGTCCGACATTCCATTTGTCTTGTCTGCCCATTCCCATGATCTCATTTCGATTCGCTTATTACAGCCTTCTCCAGAGCATTTGTCTATTCAATTTCAGGGTTTTCAGGGTAGCCTAAATTTCGAACTCCCAACAGTAGCACTATTCTTGTACAGGTCGTACATTCCCTCAAAATAAAGAATATACTTTTTCTTTCTATGTTCAGTAGGTCTGAAGCAGCCCAATGTCGAGTACCTTTTTGGACGGGCCCGTATAGACCATATGATTCCTTGACTATCACATCTTGGACGCTTATAACAGTTTGTAGTGGACCTAGCAACTAAGTATGCCTATACACGCAATTAAAAAGGACAGAACAAATACTAACAAATATGTATATATAAGATATTCAGTTCACTTAAGTTAGTATACACAAAAATACTGAGGTTATTTGAAAAAAACTATAATAGTCACGAAATACTCAAAATATAGACGTACGAAATAATAGAGATGAAACTGTCCTTTTCTTGATCATGCAAATCCTCAACTACACCTTAGAGATGTCAACCATCGGAGATCTCCCGCATAGAGAAAAGCAGGTTGGAGCAAAATATCTTAATGTGGATGTATCGATCAGTGTGAGACAGAGTTGATCGGCAGATGTGATGAGCGAGCAGCTGGAGAGAGGGAAACAGATTCGTTCGTTGTGCGCGGTCCAAGGTTGAGTCTTTTTCAATCCCACATAACAACCACGATTTTCATTGGATTCCTTATTTTTCGGTGAACATATAATTTGAAATATTTTTCGACCGTCACAAGTTCTATGCATTCCAAGTGCCCCCACTTCCGCAGCCGTTCTGAAAGCAGGGGGAGGAGATATATTCGCTTAATTAGGAGGAAGTATATTATTTATAGCAGAGAAGTGGCAGCGCTGAGAGTTTATAAATTCACTTGCCCAGTCTAGTCCTCAGTTACATGAAAAAATACTGTAGTCAGTGCACTAATATGAGAATGGAAAGAGAATCCAGAGGACGGAATGAAAAAACAAATGGAATGTAGGCACAGAGGTTTATGTGTAAGAAAAGTTATATAGTGTGAGCACACAATCAGTTTATCACGCGAAAAACAGATCGATTAACTGTATCTTTTAGGGGTTGCAGGTATCGACGTTCGCGAACTGTGCGGATTATACTAACGCAAGATCTTATACCAGCAACTTCTATAGTGTTCGCTCTTCGAGTACGAAAGATAAAGCAAAAGACCAGATTTTGTCGTCCAAAGTACGTAGTAAATTTCGGGACCAAATCGCGGGTAGAAGTGAATGCTTAGCTAGCTAGTAATCGTGCACGCACGTGACACGACGGAGTACCAAATGGCGGGGCTGCTTGACCGGAAGCCTTCAGCTAAACAAGTCGACTTAAACAGTGAGGGTCAGCATCCAATGCTGAGTGATGATTGCTGTGGTCAATAATTTTGGGGAATTATTTACCGCTACAATCTCTTCTCTTCGTCACATCCCAGGTAAAGAGATCCAATCATAAAATTCGAAACCTTAAGAAGTGGCTCTGAGGCTCATTAATCTCCACTCTTCCTTTTCATCGGGTCAGGAGATTTCAGCAAACACAGCTGCAGGACAACCAACATCGTAATGTAGTACTACTTGTCCCATCGAGTAGTTCAAATTTGGGAGTAACTCCTGGAAAAGCTCACACAAGGTCAGATGCTGAATGGAGAAGACTAACAGAAGCTTGAGGCTTCCCACCTTTAATCAAAAGTCTTAATCATATATTATCAGTCACACCGTTTTGTTTGTTAGGTTTGAGAAAGATAACCATAAGAGTTAGGCTAGGAGCAGATTTGGGTTAGCTTCACCAAGATGGAGGGCTGTTAGGGTCTGTAGTGAATAGATTTGGACTACGTTAATGTTACGTTCAGTTAAGAATAAGGTCAGCGAACAATTAGGGACACAAAATCTACTTTTTAGCGCAACTGCTCCTTCCAAGGTCATTGTTGACTTCGTTTACTTGGATTGCTGTAATTTAACTTTACCTGTTATACAGTTTCTCTGTAATTCATCCTCCTTATATTAGACAGTTTGCCTTATTGTGAATTGACATTATTTTGTTGGGATTCATCAACTTCTTGACTAATAAGGTCGATGTGCAGTTTAAACCTAAAGTGATGCCGAAGGCTAGGTTCTTCAAACCAAGGCGCAATGACCTTATTAGTGAGATTTCAAGTCCAACGAACGTTGTCAAACATGTCCACGTTACTTATGATCAAGAAACAGGACAGTTTCGGGGGATACCAGATTACTGGAAAGAGATGATAGAAAACTCAAATTTCTCAGTTGAAGATAGGAAGAACAACGCAGATAAAATTCTGAATGCTGTAACTGCCTTTAAAGAATCTCAGAGGACAAAATATCTGGGTTTTGAAGGCCTAGATAGCGTTGACGAAGGTTTCTGAGGATTGTCTGGTTAATCAGTCTCTTACAGATGATGAATTAGAAAAGAAAATGCGGTTGTTCATTCTAAATTCAAAGGAAGAGGTGAAGAAAAACAGCCAGCTTGCTACGCCATCCACAGATAAAACGAATGCCCCGGATCACGTTTATATTGACCGGAATGGTGCCCGTACTCCGCCTGTGCCACCACCAAAACCTTCAGTCAGTGACCCAAACAAAGTTTGTTTTTGACTTACTGATAATTTTTATTTTGCTATAGCAAGCAGTCCCTCTCCTCCGCAAGCGTATTCGTAGGAAACTCACAGATGAGGAATTTTATTCAGAATTAGGTGAGTTGGGACTACACAATTTCGCGTCGACAAAGCCACTGTTTATGCTACTGACTTATTTTGCGTGATTATGTATTATTATATTATCAAGCACATCAGCCGAATATCGGCTTTAAGTGTTGTAGGCTGGTGATGACTGGCATTTTCTTTGTTTTTATTTCAGAATCAGTAATAACTCCTGGAAACCCTCGTGATGTTTATTCTGTGGAGAGTGAGCTTGGGACAGGGTATGTTAATAATTATAACAATAGCTTTTTGGGTCACCTTGAGTTGACGTGCTGCCTTTGACGCTCACAAGTGCAACTAAAAGACTAGCTAGCTTGGAAATCACTTAGTATTCTTTGAGTCTTTGAAACGTTTGCTGAAACGTCGATGAAATTTCCACAATGAAATGTCAAAGTTCAGAGAATGTCGGTTAACCTACATTCTCACAAAAAGCTGTATTTCTCTTTAATTTTATTTACTAGATTATTTTAGGTGTATGAGGATATGGTTTTGTTATCGATTTCATAAATAGTATTGGTTACCCTTGTATTATGCAAAAGTCAGGAAAATATGAATCACACTGAGTAGATTAGTTTTTGTCCAGATCATAGACCTGTTCGTACTCCACCAGTTGTTTAAATATTGTAGTGCATATGAAAAGACAAAAGTCATTGTATTTTCTGACAGCAAAGTGTCTATGACTAATTCAACATAGTAGCAATGCAATGTGAAATTACCTTTAGTGATTTGAGTACTTGAAAAGCTTGGCGATTTCCTAAAAGTTGTGTATAAAACACCTCACACAGTTGAGAAGTTCGTAGACCTAGTCAGTTGTGTGACTGCTAGTGGACATACGGCAGATGCGTTTTTTAAAACATTTAATGCCACAATACTCTACGCGAGTTTGGACTGCTTGTGATGGTCATGTTGCTGAAATAAATGTGAGAATTCAGCAACAAGGCTTCTAAGAAAGCACTCCTACTGAGGTTGTTTAAATGCCACCCACCAACCACGTTTTTCCAAATATTACAAAAGAACTCATACACACTGCGGAAAATAGCACTACTCTAGTGCGAAAGCGTCAGCAGATGGAGCGATATAAATACCTGTGATCTATTGATTAAGAGTTCTTTATCAAGACGAATAAACCGCTATTGGTCCTAATGGTTGGGCCTTCATATTTCAGCATCTACGGAATTTGCTGACTGTAATGACTACTTTTATAGCTTCATGCCATCAATGTCAGATGAATAAAAGTTGTGCACAGTGTGGCAGGAGCTTAAGCTGTACTGTTGACAGTAGTGTTGCATAAGAAGGGAGTTTCGATTATTATGCCATCTCCCCCATTTCAAAGGGAGCAGAGTAGAATCATATCTTCCTGAAATTTTTATACATTGATCCACCCTTCAGTGATACGTAGTCAGCAGTAATTTTCTTCTTACGGACGGAAATCCACAGACCTTTTAATAAACTGTGTTTGACTGATCCAAAGTGGAAGTCATCAGGTTTTCCAAGAAGCAGCAAAGATGTGCGAATAACTTACATGCTTCAGCACACAGTTTTTGTTTATTGATCACTCTACACTCTTTCATTCCCCAAACTTCACTTCTTATTATTATTTCCTTTAGTTCCTAGAGGAACATAGGGCTTCAGCCATGCGTCTCCATTGCGTTCGATTCTCTGCTAGAGTTTTCACCTGGCTCCAGGTCTGCCCACATGCTTTCATCTCCTCTTCCCATGATCTCCTCCAGGTCACCCTTGGACGACCAACTCGCCGCTTCCCTTTCGGGTTCCACTCGAGGGCTTGTCTAGTGATGTCACTTGCTGGTTTCCTCAGAGTGTGGCCAATCCATCTCCATTTTTTCCTGCCTATTTGTTTCACAATGGGTTCCTGGTTGGTTCGCTCCCAGAGATCTTTGTTGCTGATCCTTTCCGGCCATCTGATCTTGAGTATTGAGCGAAGACATCTGTTAATGAAGGTCTGTAGCTTGTTTGAGGTGCTCTTTGTGACACGCCAAGTCTCTGATCCGTATAGTAGTACTGATTTCACATTGGAGTTGAAAATCCCGATCTTATTTTTGACGCTGAATGATGTTGTCCTCCACACAGACTTCAGAGTAATGAAAGCTTGCCTTGCTTTCCCGATCCTTGCTTTGATATCCTCGTCAGTTCCGCCTGTAGTTGAAACGATGCTTCCCAAGTAGGTAAAGGAGGTAGTTTCTTTCAGGTTTTTTCCATTTATGCTGATTGCTGTCTGTTGTTGGTGTTGGCCAGGGATCTTCATCACCTCTGTTTTTTCTATGTTCACCTGGAGTCCTATCTTTGATGCTTCTTCTGCCAACTTGTTACTTTTCACTTGCATATCTTCCAGTTTGTGGGAAATCAGGCATATATCATCGGCGAAGTCCAGATCCTCCAAGTTCTTTGTGTGAGTCCATTTTATGCCTGTTTCCTCATTGCCCGCTGTTTGTCGCATTATCCAGTCTACTGCAATCAGGAAAATCATTGGCGATAGTAGGCAACCCTGTCTTACTCCTGTCTTCACTTCGAAGGATTCCGTGAGTTTCCCGTTGTGGATTACTTGGCATGCAGCGTTGTCATACAACTGTTGGATGAGATGTATAATTGTCGGCGGCACCCCGTAGTAGCGAAGTAGTTGCCAAATCACCTCTCGATCGACGCTGTCGAAGGCCTTTTCAAAGTCGATGAAGTTGAGATAGAGAGGTGACTGCCATTCCAAACTTTGTTCAATGATGATCCGTAGTGTGGCGATTTGATCAATACATGACTTGTTACTCCTGAATCCAGCTTGTTCTGGTCGAAGTTTTTCATCCAAGGCTTGTTTGATCCTTTCCAGGATGATGCGGCTTAGTATTTTGCTTGGGATGGAAAGGAGCATAATTCCGCGCCAGTTCTTGCATTGACTTAAGTCTCCTTTCTTTGGTAGTTTGAATAGGTATCCTTTCTTCCAATCCTCGGGTACTTTGCCTTCTTTCCACACTTTCTCAAGTAGTGGCGTCATCAGGTCTGCTGTTGTCTCTGGGTCGACTTTCAATGCTTCTGCTGGGATTCCATCTGGTCCTGCTGCTTTCCCAGCTTTCAGCATCTTGATTGCCTTCAGGACTTCTGATTTCGTCGGGGGGTTGATGTTCACTGGTAATTCTGCTTCCGTTGTTGGTATTGTTGGGCGCGTTGTAGGTGGCGGTCGGTTTAGTAGTCTTTTGAAGTGTTCAGCCCAGTGTTTCCTTTGCTCCACTTCTTTGGTGATTGACTTTCCATTTTCATCCTTCACTGGCTTAATTTGTGACGAATTTTTGCCTGAAAGGTACCTAGTTGTTTGGTGAAGTGTTGCGAGGTCTCCTTTGCCTGCAGCTTGTTCTGCTTCATTGGCCATGGCTTCATAATACTTTCTTTTGTCTTCTCTGGCACTCTTCTTTACTCCTTTGTTCAGTGTATTGTAGCTTACATTCAACTCCTGTTTCTGTTGCTCGTCGGTGCACTGCAGAATTTTTTGTTTCACCATCCTTCTCTCCTCTATTAGCCTCCAAGTGTCCGTAGTGAGCCACGGTTTGTCCTGTCTCTTCTTTCTGCCCAGAACTTCCATGCAGGTTTCGCTCCATACTGTTTTCAGGTTGTTCCAGTGTTTTTCGACGCTGACCTCTTCATCAGTGTTGATTTGTGTCTCGGCTTTGTCCTTTATACTTGCAGTAAAGATATCCTTTGTATCCTGGTCCTTTAGTTTTTGAGTGTTGAACTTGGCTTGTGGTCTATCTGCAGCTCCTGTTTCTCTGAAAGCCTTTAATTTGAGTTGGATTGTTCCTTGTACGAGGTAGTGGTCTGAGCCAACGTCTGCTCCTCTTCTTGCTTTTGTGTCCAGTAGGCTGCGCCGCCACTTCCTCGAGATTGTGATGAAGTCAATTTGGTTTTTGGTTCGCCCATCTGGTGACACCCACGTAGCCTTGTGAATATCCTTGTGTTTGTATACGCTGCCACCAATCACTAGTTCATTGAAGGCGCAGAAGTCGGCGAAGAGTTCTCCATTTTCATTCATCTCTCCCAGAGCTTCTTTACCCATGATGAGTTCCCTTCCTGTGTTGTCTGGTCCCAGTTTGGCGTTCATGTCTCCCATTAGTATTTTGATGTCACCGGCTGGAGTATTGTCTATTGCTGCCTGCAGTTGTCTGTAGAATTCTTCTTTCTTTTCGAGGTCTGCGTTGTTGGTCGGTGCATAGCATTGTATAATTGACACTTTCCTTCCTTTGGAGTTGAATCTGGCGGTTATTATCCTGGGTGAGATCGCCTCCCATTGTATCAGAGCCTTGGTTGCCGTTGGTGACATCATTATAGCCACGCCCTCGGTGTGTGTGTGGTTGTCTTCTGGGTGACCGGAGTAAATCACTGACTCACCTGTTGACAATTTGGTGAGTCCGTATCCGTTCCATCTGCTTTCGCAGATCCCCAATACTTGTAGTCCGTATCTCCTCATTTCGCTTGCGATCTGGGCAGCTTTACTAGTCTCGTACATGGTGCGGACATTCCACGTCCCCACACAGACTTTTTCTTTTGACGCAAGGAGACTGTTCACGCTGAAGTTTCTGTAGCAGGTTTGTTTACAGGGTGGGGTTGCTGGCCTCTTGCTATTATTTAATTATTTATTTTCTAAAGTTTAGTTTTTCAATCTGCTCTTGGCAAACTAGAATCAGACAGATTCTAGGTTTAAACCGAGGTACATTGATCACATCTAATACCTCCAGCAAATTCTCCGGTATATACCGACATCCAACGCTTGCCATTTTTCTTGAAATTCGACTCAGTTATTCGATTTGTTGTGGCTGAGAAAAGAGTGCCGAGGAAGTATATTCTACTGACGGAGATGCTGTTTTTTAATTCCAATGGTCGCATGCCAGTGTACGTAGTGTTGTCATCGAAAGTGGCAACAAACAGTCATGAGTATCAAAGAAACCCATTGACTGACGCACCTGACTGTCTCTGATTCCAACCTTTCAAATTTGATTTATTTGCAAGGAAAGATCATGTTGACTTAGAGTACGCAGACAATGCATTCCTTTTAGTTAAAGATGCCAACAAAATGACGAGAATCAATTGTTGAAGATTCCCGGTTATTACTCAGAATCATTCATAATGGCACAAATGTATGCATTTCTTGTCATATTCCTGATTTAGAATAGACTTAACCTTTCCCTCATCCATCTTTGTTCACATGATTAATCTTGCGCATATTTCCTCTTCCTTTTCAAAGTGCTAACTTAAACTGATGCTCACCTTTGCGAATTTCGATGTTGATTTGTCAACTAGCCCTTAAAATTGTAGCGGAATCAGCAGTTAAAGTCATTCGGATTTTTCACGAGGAATCCTTCTGTCTCTATTGTCTGATAGTGGCGAGAAATCCTCAGCCACCACATCCTGGTTGACACTCAGTATAAAGTCTTTGTTGAATGAATTTATTTGGTGATAGTTTTCGTCTTTTGATTTCTCACTGCTCCTTTCTCAACCAGATTTAATCTGACAATATATTTAATCGATTTAATTTTCCCTCACTTTTATTGCCTTCCAAACTGACTTGCTCCATGCCTATTTGTGTTACCGATGTTAATGAGGTTCGTAGTATTACTGTATCTCTGAAAGGCAGAATATAATTAATTTTGGTGAATAGGCAAATCTATTAATTTTTAGGATCTTTCCCTAGGTCTTCCAACATTTTATATCTGAGCCTTCTTCATCCACCTATTTAACTGGTTTCTCGAATCATGCAACTTTTTATTGATATACCGAGAGAAAAACTTGAGTTGGGACAGACTTTTGTAAGTTTCTGAGCTGTCAAAAAATTTCATTTGGTCATGACAACAAAATAAAGCCTTAAATTATTCGTTTCAGTAATTAAGTGGAATTAACAGCTAAGAAACATAGTTTTCCTTTTACGGTGAATACTTAGACAAAGATAGTTCTCCAATTTAATCGAGTGATAGTGTGCTTAGACTTTACACTTTTGGCTCAACCAAACTTGATCTCTTTACACTTTTAAGTAGATTGTTAGGCTGATATCTGTGAATTAATTTACTGGAAGAACTTAAAGTTACCCTTAATGACTTACTTCCTATTTAACACTCCACTTTGGATCGTTAGTTCAATTTTTTCATGAACGAACTCAGTAAGCTTTAATTATTTGTTAAGTTCAAAGAACAACGATTCCAAGCCATGCATCAAATTTTAAGACACCTACTATACTCATGCTAAAATCAAGTCCTGAGCTCGTTATTTACTTATGTCGTATATTCAACTTATTTCATTATGATCTGGAGCAGTTTAATTGGCCCACAGCCACACTTAACCTGCCGGACATCCAACACCTCCCTGAATGGGAGGTAGACACAGGTCCTCCGTCCTTAACTGAGGTTACTAAAGCTGTCACTAATGTGAAACGAGGCAAAGCAGCGGGACCTGATTTATTGACTCCAGAGGTATTTAAGTACGGTGGAGACAGTTTACTGTCTGCGTTAACGGAGGTTTTAGGCAACGTCTGGGAATCAGAGGAAGTGCCATCGGGTTGCTGTAAGTCACTGATCATCCCGATATACAAGAAGGGAGACAAGTCTTCTTGTGATAATCACAGAGGGATTAGCTTGACTAATATAGTATCCAAAATCCTAGGCTCAATAATACTGCGTAGACTAAGTGGCGCTCGGGAGACACAAACACGAGAAAACCAGGCAGGTTTTAGGCCAGGTAGAGGGTGTATTGATCATATCTTCACCCTTCGACAGATTCTAGAACATAGGCATTCCTACCGGCGTCCGACAATCATTATATTTCTCGACCTAAAGGCGGCATTCGATTCTGTCGACCGGGAGGTTCTCTGGCGATGCTTGGCTGTAAAGCGAATGCCAAGAAAATACATTGCACTGATTAAGGCACTCTACTCGTACTCATGCAGCCAGGTTAGGGCTTACGGCGAGCTGTCATCTGAAGTGGTGACGACTAGTGGCGTCCGTCAAGGATGCCCATTATCCCCATTCCTATTCAACTTCATCATAGACGTACTAATGGACTTAACCCTAACACACTTCAGCGACTCAGGGATTGACTTACTACTAGGGAATAATCTCGTTGACTTAGAATATGCAGACGATATAGTCCTTCTAGGCGAGGACGCTGACAAAATTCAGTCTTCTGAACACCTTGAGCAGCAATCTTCGTATGTTTGGCATGCGATTCGCCCCTGTAAAATGTAAGATGATGCTGCAGGATTGGACTTCATCGACCCCTAGATTAGAAATAGGAAGTGAAGTGGTAGAGCACGTTGACCGCTTCACTTACTTGGGAAGTACCATCAGCCCCAACGGGTTGATCTCAGACGAAATCTCAGCACGAATACAGAGGGCTAGTTTCGCATATGCTAGTTTACGCTGTCTCTGGCGTAGACGTGATATCCGGCTGTTGACCAAAGGACGTGTGTACTGTTCATCAGTCCGCTCCGTCCTCCTTTATGGCTGTGAGACCTGGCCATTGAGAGCAGAAGACATGAAAAGATTAGTTGTCTTTGATCATAGGTGCCTGCGTTCGATCTCCCGAGTGAAGTGGTATAATAAGGTGAGCAATATTGACGTTAGGCGTCGAGTGCTAGGTAAGGAGGGGAAATCAATCAACGAAACGGTGAAATTACTTCGACTGAGATGGCTAGGACATGTGTTACGTATGCCTAGTCATCGCCTTCCTCGACGGGCAATGTTAGCTGATATAGGGCCAGGCTGGAAAAGAGCTAGTGGCGGTCAAACCAAAACATGGCATCAATCAATGAAATCCACAACAGTTAGTCTAAGCCACGTAGGAAGGTGTAGACTTCCTGACTGGTTGGGGTCCTCGGGACGGTAAAAACCAATGGTTGGAAACAATTGGTGACATGGCTCAAATGATCGTTCTCAATGGCTGTCGCAGATGCATCCACTCCTTGTGACTTATGATTTCCAATTAAACTGTTTTGTTCTTCGTTATTACTGTACCTTTGTCTCACACCTCTGTTTACTGTCTATATTATGCATTTCTTCTCTTGCTTTGCGTGCTACATGGATTGTGGCGACTTGAACTGCCGCACATATGTGCAAAGTTCTATTTCGAAAACCGACCGACCGGATCTGATAAGTCTACAAAGCAGATAGTGGGGAATGCCTACCACGTATTTTTCACTTCATAAATTGCATGCTTTATCTTATGTGAATCATACAAAAATAGAAATTTGATGCATTACAAACTGCATATTGCTTTAGGGATTGAGATATGAGTAGTAAGACAGTTGTAGATGTTTGATTCAGTAAATTCTGTTGAGTAGGTCACAGTTCAGAACACCTCACAAACCAAGTTCGAACGAATCAATTAGTATTTCAGCTACCGTACTATAAATATAGCTTATTGCATAAACAAATATAAGATCGAGTTTCAGTAATTTACATTTACATTAATCGATGTGGTTCTCTAGCGAAACAACAGTGAATTAAATATCAGACGGTCACTTTGCTCATTACATTTTAACCTTATCTAGGACTTACGTAGAACTACTCAGCTCACAGATACCCAGGCTTTTCATTATATTCCTAAACTGACCAGTGGTTTAGGTATGACTAGTTTTCTCTGGAGAAAACAAGAGTTCCACTTATTAAATAACGAAAGCTAGTTAAGGATATCACGCAGTTCTTTGTCTCAGTTTTTGTACGCCAGGATCCAACGGAATACAAATAATATTTGAAGAGTATTTTGAGGGTAAAATCAGTTAAATTTCACATTGCTCATGCACTTCATCACGTTATTTTTACTATTAACTTGGACCTACAAAAATATTTTCACTGGACGTAGAAAATTATTTGAACTGAAGATTAACTTTGTTGTAACATTTCCTCGGCTGGTTGTCTCTTTCTGGTGTGGTGTTTTTTCATTCCTTGTGATCCGAGTAGAATACAGGGCTTCAGGTTTTGCAGTTTCGTCAGGGGTGGTGTTATTTTGACGAGGCGGAGTTGCTGATCTCGCATCTAGCCTTGGCTCTTCCCCAGACTTACTACCGACTGGTAATCAAAGCAACATTTAAGAGTATATCAGCTGAGAACCAAACTCAGGCACTTGGTTGGCAAGCATTCCACCACTGAACCATCGACGTACCTGGTGTGATGTAACTCCAGAAAACCCTCAATCACTGTATGTTGTATTATAGTGTACACAGTTTTCAGAAAAATTTAGGTATCATAGCCTTCAGTTTTTTGTTTGGAACTGATAAAAGGATGACATTTTTTCTGGTTATCATATGTAAACAGGCTTATCTATAACTGTAGTTACATAGCTGGTCTAAGTATTTGTTTCATATCTGAATTCAGAGCCCAACTCATTTATGGAGATTAATTTAACCAAGTAAATAGCATTATGTATCACGCACTGAATATAGCTTATTATGTGGTGTATAAACATACAGGTGAGTGATTCTATCGGCATTACGTTCAGTAAATCTTAGAACAAAGAAAGCTTTAGAATTTATTTACGTAGGCTAATATCAAACCCACTGATACTTCAACAAGCACAAGTTCAATATTGATTGTTTTTGTTAATTTACTTTTATTAGCGAAACTGTGTTTCAGATAACTTAACTAACTCGAAGTCATATAATAATAGTAATACCAGTAGTAAGAGATCATTTGATTTAATTGAATTTCATCTGTATCTTATCTTTGTGACCGGCCTAAACATAGTTTTATTGACTGGCATTGTATGTACTTGAACATCGTTCTCCATTTTGCACACAATTATGAACACAGATACATTCATGTAATGTATTGCCAATTTTGCTTTCACTCAATCTACTATTTTGTGTGACTCTAATTAGTATTTTTAATTGATAAAACTTATCATATTATCACCACATGAAAGGTATCAATTTATTTAATGCTACCATTACCACTTTCGCATGCTAATCACGTGGTGAATGGTTAAATGTGATATATATATATATATATATTGTCTACATATTTGTCATTCTTGAGATTATGTGGTGTATTGTTCCAGTGCTTCCGGTACTGTTCGACTTGGTCGAAATAAAAGGACTGGACAAATCGTGGCAATTAAAGTGATGAAGTTGGATAAACAACCCAATCGTGACTTGATTATCTCAGAAATCGCTGTTATGAAACGTATACGACATGAAAATATCGTCAACTATTTAGAATCGTACATATTAAAAAATGAGAATCAATTATGGGTTGTTATGGAGTATCTGGATGGTGGCGCTTTAACAGATGTAGTCACTGAGACTGTTATGTCTACTGATGTGATTGCTGCCGTTGTTCGAGAATGTGTAAAAGCCCTCGTATTTCTACACGATCAAAATATTATACACAGGTATGTTCTACCAGTGTTGATCTCGTGCATTTTGCTTTGTTCTTTTATGTGTTTATGGAATTTCTAAAGTATTCAAAATTCTTTCACGTGCATAATATTACTACCATATACCATTAAATGTAATCTAATTAAGAAGTAGAAAAAATAAAGTTGTGGTAGAGTAATGAAAATAATTTATGGTATTTAAAATCACTTTCCCCTTGGTTACTGAAATAATTTTTTGTGCAAAAGTTTCTTTTTTTTGTCGTATTGATATCTAAATAACGACAAATACAGCTGTTGAAGTGCTTCCATGTATGTATCCCTTCCTGTTTTTCACTTTACAGATGTGACGCACAAGGTCACTTTATATATATATATATATATATATATATATATATATATATATAATGAGATGCATATGTGTTATACTAAAATGTTCCTACTCTACATTTTTCTTTAACACTGTCGGTTTAGTGACTGCATTTTCATCTAATGCGTTATGAGTTCAAACCTTATCCTGCCTACTGAAGGTTAGACTCCAATTTAGTTTTATAGATCTTTACACGTTTTAAACTGTATTATTGAATGCGTGAACATCTACGTAACATTTCAAGATAATATGCTTTTATAAATGTTATCTTGCGAAAAAATTGGGATTTTTGACATCAGCGGATCGGATGCATTGCTCTTAATGATTAGAATTCTATTAAAAATTCAAAAATTTAATGTTGTAGTATTGTCGACGTACACCATAGTTAGAAATCTGACTCGTTGGCTTGCGCACAGCTCTCAGTAAATGGATCTCAAATTCAAATCTTTATCCACATAATTCAACCTAGCCAACTGGGTGCAGTCATCAACCCTCACACAAAGGTGTAGCTCTCAACTCAGTAAATGAAAACTTCGAATAATTGAGTTCTAACTGTGGTTGAATACATTCTGGATTACATTTGATTATGTCGTATAAATACTTGCAGGTTTGTGTTTGGCATCTCGTTGGTCATAATCATGGTTTGTAGCTTTCGTTTATTTTCCGTTTAGACATTGCAGATATGTGACACTGAAGTCTTTTAGAAGAGTCTATCATTCTCAGTTACCGAATTTCGGTAGACAATACACAAATGGGAAAAAAAGGACTGAAAATTGCCGACTAACCTACCAATTTAGAGCTTAGAGAAAAGGAGCAGATGAGCTTGGCAGACTTGGAAGCATATATATTTTTAGGCTTATGCGTAGTTATTTCCTCTCTAACTATAGACTCATCAAAAAACTGAGCAAATGGCAGTTATGTAGCTAATTGTCCTCTGCATCGTAGGCGTACACGTGTACGTTAATGTGTAAAACTAACAATTCGATAGTATTGCGGAGAGCTGTCTGCTAGCCAAAATCGGTAGACAGTAATTTACGTCACTGTTTACGTCCCAAATCTTGGTCATGAGAAAAAAACAAAGACTAACTCAACAACCAATAACAGCAGATTTAGCGTGGTCGGATACGATTAGCAGAAATATCAACGGACTGCTTAAGAAACGGCAACAAAGGGATGACAACAACCAATCAGAAGACGTTGCCTCTCTACTAACAATAACGAATAATAATGTACATAAAAATATATAAATATCTGTTGATTTTCTCAATAAACGATCTGTTGCCTGGCCCTTGTCTTCTGTCGTTACAGTATGTACATCTACAATAGTGTTAATTGATGTGATTATGAACAATAAATTGCGTTCGATACATCATCCGTTAGATACTACTGTTTCGCCGTGTGATACATCAACTAAACAAATTTATATGGAGGTACACGTGTACGAAATAATAGTGATACATGATTTCAGTCCATGCAGGAGTTCGGGAAGGAACAGTCATCTCCCACTTAGCAAAGTGGTGTGTGTTGTGCCCATCTTTAGCTTGAAGTCCGTAGTTGCCAGGTAACACTGTTTTCGCTTGTGTTTGAAATTACTGTTAACCTGGAATATATGGTTATCTAGACATGATCGTAGTTCGTCCGTCGGCATGGGGCTCCACAGATATCTTCCATATACTTTTCAAACTATTTCAGTTTTCCTCCTTGAGCATTAAAATCACTTACTGATATGGTTATAAAGGATTCTTTTGCTTATGTCAGCAGGCTAGACAACTTTCGATAAAACTCATCCTAACTGCAGTCAGTTTGTGTGAGCTAAGATTATAGAATGCCATCGAGGAGTACCACCATGCTGTCTTCTTCTTCGGGATCTGTTCAGTCGTATAGCATAAATACAACTAACGACTGAGATTCAGCTGATTAGTTGGCTTGTTGCTGTCGAACTCGATGCTATCTGTATACTAGGAAGTGCACAAAAACTGCTGACATATAGAGTGGATTTCGTAAATTTACCAGTTCTTGTTAAGCGAATAACCACACTTACGTCCTGTGTCTCAGACACACTGTATAGGTCCAAAACGAAGATGTCAATTTTGCCTGCTGAGGCTTGTATATATGTGGCATTACGAAATTAAGAACAGCATTCCTCCGACTGAAGCCGCTAGCAACATTTACAGCAGAGAAAAGACGTTCCAGGAGATTTTGTCAACAATAGAATAAAGGCAAGTAGATGGAGGTGAGTGAGTGAACGGAGGGCTTTTGTGTGCTTTAAAAGTTGTATTGGAAGATGCCACTTCCAGGATGCGTAGAACGTTGAAGCTGATTTATACTTTAAGCACCTGGAAGAGAAAAAAAGACTAGTGACTTCTGACGAGCACAAGAAAGTTTTTTGATATCGACTTCATAGTCTACTTAGACTTAAAAAATATGAAACTTTGTCCGTACAGAAGATGTAACTGCCAACATCTCATCTATCCTGTTGTGAGTGCAAATACTAGTCACCTGATAGAAACACCTTGGTGCTGCTGCATGCCTCTTCCCTATGAGTACGTCTTTTCTCATAGATTCTCTGCATGGTGTAAACACTGCACACCATAATGGTAACTACTTTTAGTCTAATTGCAATCCAACCGAATTTTCTGGCATGATAGGACATGTCGTAATATTCGTTCCAGTCAGCACAGTTCTCTGAGTAATGTGCTTGCGGATTGAGTGGTGGTAGTTTTCGTATGCGGTTTTTAGGGTGAAACAGTTTTCTTTGGTTTTGTAGTCACCATAGCGAACTAAGATAATTGTGGAAGAAGAGAAAATAACCAAATAGAGACAAATGAAGATATCTGGGAGATGATAATAAGCGAACAACTCGAAGTACATGTTAAGAACTACAACCTCTATCCGCAACTTCTTCAGTGCTCTCAGTCGGAAACAATAAATTTGAAATAAGACAGCTGTATTTTTTTTAACGAAAAAAAAAACAAGTTGAACTAGATCACCCATCTTTACATGATCCAATCCTTTCTGTCCAATCTATCCATATTATCAGGATTTTTAAACACAATAGTGATAAAATACGTGCACCAAGAAAACTAATGTATTTACTGGGTTCTCATTCACATTTTCTTGTGAAAGAAAAGGGGAATATTGTACAATACATTTCGTTATAGTAAGTCGAATACAGAGAAGAATAAAAGTTTGAACAAAACATATTTTGTATTTCATCGGTTTCTCAGCATGTGGCTTACAATTTGTGAATTCTAACAATCAATAATGCGTATAAAACTATGACTTTTGAGGATACACGTTTAGATTTATTTTGGGTACTAAGAATGCCTACCACACCATAATTTTTCTAGTGAAGTGATTTTAATTCATCGCTTTCAACATTTTACAAATCATTTTGTATTTACTGACAATTGCAGTACTCCGCCTTTTGTGTTGCTTGTTTGGTTATTGACTTAATGGTCACACGGAATATTGTAAAATCAGTAATACAAAATTTGCATATTGTATATATATATATATATATATATATATATATGTCTTAAAAGAAACCAAGCTAATTTACGATTGTTTTTGTAACACAGGGATATAAAGTCAGACAATGTTCTTCTTGGTAAACAGGGTCATGTCAAAGTTACAGACTTTGGATTTTGTGCTCAGCTTGGCAATCGACAGAGTAAACGTCAGACAATGGTTGGGACTCCCTACTGGATGGCCCCTGAAGTTGTTTCAAAGACAGCAAATTATGGACCTAAAATCGATATATGGTCACTTGGAATAATGATAATTGAAATGTTAGATGGAGAACCGCCGTACATGAATGAACCTCCACTTAAGGTAAGTTCCTCTTCGTATTACCCTTAATGCAGTTTCATTATTATTTTTATGTCGCCAGACGAATTATCGAAAGCTGTATTTATTCTGAAATGTTGATGCTCTACTAACTCCCCATATCATTAGAATACTCAGTGGTCACTAACTAATTGTTGTTTGTACTGGGATTCCGACATCTTTATTCTACTGACTTTTACAGAAGAATGCCAAACGTATTTTGCCAAAAAGCAGCCTATTCACTGGGCAGTGAAGAATAGTAGTTCCCTAAAAATACGTGTGCCTTCGTACTTGAAAGTTTTAGTAACGTAACGTTTCTCCACGCCAGTGTTGTTATAAGTTGAACAAATATTAAATGACTATATTTTCAATAAGTTAATTAAGTAACCAACAATACACAATGGATGGTTAACCTTGTTAAATCATTTGACAAGATTGGTGTTTATAACCAGTACAAACTTATTGTCTATGTTTCGCATATTAGAAGCCCAGGGAATAATATTGTTTGAGCTGCGAATTAATTCACTCATAAAATAAAGTTAACAGGTTCGAAATCAATAAACTCGTTTTTCCAGACATAAAAAATATTAGTCCAATCGCCTCTCTTCAATTTGAAGTACGTCAAATATATACAGATTATCTGAGTACAGATCATATGTTCAGCATACCATGTAGCTTTGTTATTTTGTAGTAAATTCTCCTAATGCTGATCTAAACTTTTGCAGCAAAAAATGAACATTGGTTGTTCGGTAAATCAACTATTGAATATATGAGTGCATATGAACTATCATCTAGGTGGCAAGCTATAAGCTTCCCAGCACACTGCATACTACTAAATGTAATTCCGGTAGAAGTGCGGTTGATTAACCTAAAAAATCGACTTTCATTCAGTGGATCAGGGTTTGATTCCCCTCATCACCTTATCTGCGTACTGACGGATTGCAGCCCGGATGCTATTAAAGATGAATTCTACCATCGATTGAGTGAGCTTTTTAATCCCACGCAATCAACAGATATCGCAAGCTGGAGACTTTAATGCACAGATAAAGTCAAGGACCAAGTAAGAGTCGTTCGAGTGATCAGTCAAAAGTGGATGGTTGCAATTCACTGTGGGGACTATCTGGATTCGGAGTCATAACTTATTTCACATCAGTACCGAAGTTGAATCCTTACTCTGCCTCTCAAACCTGGACTGAAATTGATCACATTACTACTAGCTACCGATGGGTGCATACAAATCTGTCGTTTATTCTGGAACCCTTGTCTAGATTTCGGTTTATCTTACGATATGGCAGTGGTCATAAAAGTTGTTTCAAGTTGGTTTATGAAATAAAATTCATTGCATCTGCTATTACTGTCAGATGTCGAACTGAGCTAGACCCAAGGTTAGCTATTGTCCCTCCAGAAAGTACAGACAAACAATGGTTGCACTTACTCTTGTAAGTACACCATGAAGATGGTAACAAGAGCCGCTTGCAGTTCATTAGCACAATATTTAGAACCACTGGGTTTTTGTGAGTTCCTTTTTGACGCCAGTAGGTCCATTTCAGGTGCTAAAGAGTTTCTTTTCGAATCTCTGTTGGTTGTCTCATATCTTTTTGATTTCTAGGAAAGATCTTCGTATGACTTATTACATAAAGAAGTGGAGACTTTCTGGCATAACTCAACCTCTCTTCTTACAATTTATTAATTCATGTATTCTGTCCATTCTTCATTGTTCCTCCTTATGCTTCCCTAGCTTCCTCATGAAAGACTATGTCATACTAAGTGGAACACTGAAAGTTGTAAGTGATGGGTGGTGTGTCTTTGACTCAACTAAATGACATTGTTGTTGATAGGCGTTTCAATTCTTGCAAGGAGTCAGCTAAAGTTATTTTGTCTTATATTGAACATCCTCTTTATTCACAAGTTATTCCAGCCAATAGGTTCATGTATATATGTAATTACTTTGAGTTAGCACCTTGAGGTACGTCAGGATACCTTGGGTAGAATCCTAGAGATCATCCGAAGCAGTTATCAGATATGCATGAGAACAAAAGCCAATGGTGAGTATGCTGCAATTTCCTCTTCTCTTGGTGGGGGTAACACCTAGTAATGGACGCTCCTAATAAGAAGACTTTTAATCTATCCACTCATTATTGTTGTTGTATGGCGCATTCCTTGGAGTCCATTTTTCACCAAGTTTACTTCAAATAGAGTAAATTTCGCTCCACACCGAGGTGTTATATTCAGCCCTCATACAAAAAGTGTTTCCCGTATTCTGAAACACGAAAGATAAGTGTCGGATGACTAAGTTTAGACGCAAATCGAGGTAATCGCGATAAAAACACTAAGCACGATATTGTCCTGCAAATGGTCTAGACATATTAGTATCTGGTAGTCTCTTACATGGTACTATATGTACATCAAATACTACAGAGTTCGGGAACGGTAGTTACACAGATTTAATTTCCACGAATCACAATCTATATCACAGACTTTATTACAGCCTATACTCTGATAGGCATCGTCCTGAAGTTAATATTCTACTAAAGAAAGAAGTGCAGTCATACAATCAATTTTTAGTATATGGAATATATATAACTTCATAGGAAAAATGGTGCACTGCCAATGTAGTGAGTCTCCAGAAGAACTGCGTTGTGTTTAGACTACCTATCTGCAGTCCTCACAATCCTATGAATAAATGGTCGAAGACTATATGGGTGAAAATCATTCGCAAGAGTGCAGGTGTATTCACATCTAGCTATCTTGTAGATGCCGAAAATCCTCACTAATCCCCACCTAACTGATCTGTCTGTCCACCTTATTGTAGTTCCGTTACATTTATTTTCTCTACGTTTGTGTGCTTCTTCCAACTGTGACAACCTGCTCTGCTGCCTTTTTGCAAAGCTCTGTGTTAATAAATCAGTATGGAAATCGTTTGTGCTATTCTTATTATTTAATATTCGGCCCTAACTCCAGTATTAGTACAGCAATGATTTCTGTCAGTGTAACGATTGCTTATTTATGAATTAATATCCTTTACAATGTAAAGTCCAGAGGTTTTCTTGACTTCAAGGCTTGGTTATTCTTTCTAACTAATGTCTAATCCATCTTTGCATAATATAGGCTATATACCTCATTCAAACTATGGGAAAGCCTAAACCTAAAACCAAGTGCCTGCATCCAATGCTACAAGACTTTTTGGATAAATGCTTAGTTGTAGATCCCCTCAAACGAGCCTCTGCACGTGAACTTTTAAACCACGAATTCTTCAAGTACGCAGGTAATTTATCCTCTCTCGGACCTCTTATACGTGCTGCGCGAGAAAGTTTGGGAAAGAAGGAGTAATGATAGTGATATTCGAAGCGTTCAGCAGAATACATGACGGAGTTGTGCAAAATCATGGTGATCTGGGACTTCTCCAAACACGTATCTTCATGAAAAGTATAATCTCAGAAACAATTTTCAACCTAACTGCTTGATTTTTACATGACTGAATCTCTTATACATCGATATTTTGTATGCTTTGCTTCATTTTTATCTTGTTTGATATGTACCAGTTGGTTTAACTTAAAGTTTTAATTTAGACTAGTCTGTTGTATACTGTGGAATATTTTCTGGTGCTTTTCAGTACTTCAATCAAGTCTTTCTACTGCATCACACATGTACCTTGACATTTGATCAATTTATGCGATTGTGTGGCAGTTCCCCTTGATTTTTCAAATGATCTTTGCTCCAAAATTTGTTAACGTGTAATAATATATATATAATCTTTCCTGGGTATTTTTGAGTAAAAAAAGGGGTAATACTTTTGAGGAACTTTTTATGTGGAATTCATATCACTTATCACGTGTGCACCAGTTACATTAGGCGGAATTAATCAGTATATCTGCACAAAAGATAATCATATTGGTATCGAAAATAAATGTTAGCATCAGTACCTGGAGTTCATGGTATGGGAAAACGCTATCAACAAGTTTGAAGATTGACCACAGAATAAACAAAATTATCACATCGGAATCACCAACTAAGGGTCCTCCAAAAGCATTGGCTGAAACAAAAGAAAGGTAAGCTGACCGGTAGTAATCGTACCACTAACAAAATCTAATAATCAAGCAGACATTAGGAAATAGCATTACTACGTTGTTAACTGCTATAAACCATATTTGCAAATCAAGTAAACGATAAATAAATAGGTATGGAGACGAGACTGACACTTGCAGAATGCTGAAAATGAAGATCAGATAAAGAAAGACGACTTAACAGTTTAGCATCAAGATAACATCCGGCCAGACAACCTACACAGCTCATACCGTGGGTTTATGGATTAATGTCATGCTCTAAATCTCAGTAACTTCGGTTTCTTCTAATTTAATCTTACTTTTGATAAGAGCGTAAACTTGTGTTTATCGCCTACGACTGACGCTCCACTCCTGCATTAGACAATCTGTGGTTTCGCCAAAAACCGGTCGCAAAATTGCTCGGTAGTGTCAACACTCCGTTGGGATGGGTCAATTTAGTAGTTATGTCGTTAATGATTTTTTTTCCCACTTTGATAAGCTTCCGATTCTGGTAGTACTTTTGTAAAAAATCACCATTGTGCGTTAACAGAGATTACAAAATACTTTGCTTTGATATGGCGAACGCCTAGTGGCCACCCTGCACTATATGGTAGGGCAATCTCGCCAAAGACAAAGCCCTTTTTGTGACTGATGAGGTTTCATTAGCTATGAACCCGCCAGTGCTCATGCAGCTTTTCAAATACGACGAATGGCTGCAGTGCTCAGCCACATTCCTTGCTGTCATACAGGATGGCCGAAAAACCACCAGTCAACGACTTATTTCGTTTTTGGTAGATTTGAATAAGTTATCTTAAGAAGGGCAAGATACAAAACTCACACTATTCCGTCCTGTACTCATATTGTTTTCACCAATACCTCTTTGGTATCGCCAGGTCATGTGTTCTACATCAGGTACAGCAGTGCAGTAAAGGATTTCTGTAAGATGAAAAATTAGAATAACAAGTTACACTTCTACTCTGCTTCTGATATTTAATAAGAGAATGAAAACATTCGCAATACTGAGTGTAATCTAACCCTCGTCCTCAATGTTTAGCTGTGCCCCTACTCTGAGCGTAAGCTGAACAGACTCAATTTTAATAGGCTGGGGAACAAGATTGCAAAATGATTATAGTAGGAACAGAGCGGTCAGATTTAATAATCAAATTCTAAAATGGAATCTAATAGTCTGATGATCGTCACTCCTATCAGTTCATAGTATTTCCCCGCTGCAGTTATCTCCTAACTTAACACTGCTTGATGGACCTGGACGGTAATTTCTTTATGAACTCCACGCTAATATGTTTGGGTGTTGGGGATTCGCTTCCCTTCAAGACAGATGTCATGAATTAATTTCGGTTAAAATGTCAAGACTGCTCAATACTCGAATGTAATATCAAACTACTGATTGGATTGTGTACAAAAGTGTGACTCCACTTATTGAAATGGCACTATGCGCGGCCATGTCCTCGTAGATGAAATTCCAGGACTATCCACAGTGCAGAGCCAACTAGAAGTGTTGTGAATGCGACCAGCTGATGTTAATTCTGGTTTTATGAGCCAAAATGGATTACAATTCCCTTTAGTCTGCTAACGTTAACGTATTTCCTCCTGCAATCAACCACGTTTACTTTTTTTCCTCGTGGTGAAGCATCAGCTTGAACTGACACTAACTTACTCGGCTTCTTACGGTATTTATCCTTGCTAATATACTAAAAGTTCACCACATAAGAACACGAAATAAGTTCACGTTACTATTATTCATTATCATGATAAAAAAACCATTTATATATAAGTAACTTGCTAACAAACCTCCAAATCTCTCCCCATTCGGAAGACAAAATGACAGCGCTCCAACAAGAGGCCGTAGATAATTTATCTGCACACTCGGAGGAGTAACGTTTAACGTCAGATCTACTATCTGACTTGGCTGTAAAGGTAAAATGGGGATTTTGCCGTCAACACCAATCGGAAGCCAAAGGACTTGACCATCATCTAGAGACAGACTATTCAGTTTAGCAACTGTGTGATCTAACTGTTCACAAGTATGATTAAGTAGTTATGAATTGATACTAACTTCAGAACGCAAGAATGTCCCCTCTGGCCACGGACAGGATCCACAGTTTTCAATTGTAACTTTAATAAGTTCACCGACATCTGAGGAGTCATATGGCGAAGGCCATATACGCGCGTCAAATTCTCTTCTATCGACTGAATCAAGCGTGTTCTCTACAGTGGCGGATGTACTGTAAACCGTAAGGTGACCATAGCTTGTACAACTTGTGGAATGATTGTCTTCAAAACTGAAATCGAAATACGCTCCAATCGCTCGTTGTAAGTTCCTTAAACACTGATATTATAAGACTTCTTTACATTACCAGTCCGCTAGTTCCAGGAAAAACCGACAGGACTCATCTGATAAATCATTTCCAACTACTGATTTGAGTTGCTGAATCAGCTCATCCCTATCTGTCGTACCCAGTGCACTGAACTGCTCAAGCAACTTGGCATCGATGTCAAACGTTCTTAATTCCATATCGAAAGCCACTCATAGATTTTTCATTTCGACGGACATTCGGATGAAGCGCGCCATCAAGGACATAGAGTTTCAGCATCCAATGTACTTACGACAACCATGTTTTAACCTTTTTATTCTGTGAGCTATGAATTTTTGGCTGCAGCATATCGTTTCAGCTTTCTACTTAATGGGCGTATTCATTGGCCTTTCCTAGAGTTTTGTTGAATATTTGAATGTTAATTCGCGTTTCGTTGCAGTTTAGAATTTTTCCAAGACAAAAGTGATACCTTGGTCTGTGACAGTGATTTCCCCTTGGAAATAAGCAAGAAAGTCCTGGAGGAAAATAAACACTAGTAGTGCAGTATCCAGAATAATATATTAGGTTTAAATATATAATTAATCACCGACTATCTTGGGAAACACTTGATCGTTCCACTCCTTCATGTGAGTTAAGGACTTCAGTACTTGAAATCCACTGCTTCTAACTGTTCGATTCTCTTAGACTGTTGAAAGCGGGTCACTACTCATCGTTGGGATCATATTAGTCCCTGTGTATTATGTCACATCTGCATGAATATTCCCACATGCTTCTGTTCATCAAAGTTTTCACCATTCGGGAAGACATAGGCAGCAATATTATCGAACTGTCTCACCTACATTTTTAAAATAAACACATTATGGTAAAAGGTGTTAGGAAGGATGAAAACAGAATTTCTGTAAAAATGACCCTAGTAAATCAAATTGCTGTCGGTGGATTTATGGATATACGTGATCTGTTTTAGATGGTTGGAGACAATTGGCGGGAAGCCTTGGATCTAATTTTCGTGCTAGTTGGCTCTGATTGCATTTCCGTATAAATGTCGATTCAAAGATTCAATCTACAGGTCCTGGAGCCGGTGTTGCTTCCAGAAGACAAATAGCTGCAACTCTGTCTATTGTGCAGTAACCAACTTTGGGACATCAGTAATGGGAGTTTTTATTGCTCCACTGATAGTCAACTAGGATAGAGGCTTACTACGGCAAAACTTTTGTGGATAAACATCAGCATAATTATTATTGTATCCTTTAATTCCTAGAGGAACATAGGGCTTCAGCCGTGAGTCTCCATTGAGTTCGGTTCTCTGTTGGAGTCTTCACCTGGCTCCATGTCTGCCCACACGTTTTCATCTCCTCTTCACATGACCTCCTCCAAGTCACCCTTGCACTGACGACCAACTCGCCGCTTCCCTTTCGGGTTCCACTCGAGCAATGGCTTGTCTAGTGATGTCACTTGATGGTTTCCTCAGAGTATGACCAGCCAATCCATCTCCATTTCCTCCTGCCTATTTGTTTCACAATCGGTTCCTGGTTGGTTCGCTCCCAGAGATCCCTGTTGCCGATCTTTTCTGGCCATCTGATCTTGAGTATTGAGCGAAGACAACTGTTGATGAAGGTCTGTAGCTTGTTTGAGATGCTTTTTATGACGCGCCAAGTCTCTGATCTGTATAGTAGGCAGCACTGACTTCACATTGGAGTTGAAAATCCGGATCTTATTTTTTTAAACATCAGCATAAATCACAGCAAAACTCCTGATAGTTTTCCTCCAGTCTTCTGCCTGCTGGCGTACAATCATGACACGACCGACACCTGCCAAGATGGAAATCCATTCGAACACAAGCCATAATTCGCTTGCTCAGCGTTTGGCCAACCTGGCACACCCAAGGAAAATGGGTTCATCCTCTTGATCTGTTGTGATGGCTGAACGTAGCCTTGAGTGTCAGTGGGAAAACCTGGGCCAACAAGGACAAGGCTGAAACGGAAAGCTAAACAAAAGGACAACACACAACAGGAATAACCGCATTATATGGGCGCTCACTGTCACTCATCAGCAATGACATGCACAACTCAGCTAGAG